TGCTCTCTCTCTCTCTCTCTCTCTCTCTCTCTCTCTCTCTCTCTCTCTCTCTCTCTCTCTCTCTCTCTCTTCCGCGCGTGCATGTGTAACATTATATTATTCTATAAAGTCCGGCGACGCGCGTGATTGTCACGGGAGCAGTTCGACAATCGCGCGCGACTCCGGGGAATTGGCGCTTCTGCGCCGACAAATGACGGTGCGTACGTCGGCGATAAGTTTGTCGATTATCCCGATACACGGCCGGCAAAGTGTAAAATTAAAGCGCGCTAGGGCGCGGCTGGCTGCCGAGTCAGTTCCCCGCGGAAATTCGCAGTGTCGCGTCGCATATTTACGGAGATCTAGCGCGTTACACGTCCGGAAGCTTGCGCGGACGCGAGCTCGTCGGCTTTAAGCACTTGGACGACCGCCCTCGACGAGCCCCGACGAGCGCGACCGGCAATTCACCCCTCGGCCAACAACTCGCAACACGTTCGGTCGCGATAAGTTCGACGATCACCCGGGAGCGCGTCGGTTCCCGAGGAAATTAAAACTTGGCCAATTCAACCGCACGCCGCTCGCAGTGGCTTTATTAACTGCCGAGCCCGGCGAGAAAGAAAGGCGCCAAAGGGGCAAGGCTAACGAGGGATACAGAGAGCGAAGCCGCTGGAGATTTTCGCGCCGTGCACGGCCGCTCACTCGCGAGGCTCGCTCTCGTGCGGGTAAACCACCCCCCGTCGACGAGATATGACGAACCATCCTCGCCCTATTCTCTCTCCGGGGTAATCTTAATTCTCAGATTGCCGCCACGCTTCGACGACGCGTGCTGCGCGAGTTTTGATCAGCGCCCGTCACCGATGAGGGAGAATGAAAAATTCAGCGCCGTGAGACATCCGCGAGACACCCACGGGACGCTTTATTAAGAAGAGACAGAGAGAGAGAGAGAGAGAGAGAGAGAGGGAGGGAGAGAGAGAATAGCTGTTTGCCGGGGTTCTACCTCCGTAGAGCCGCAGTCACGCTCAATTCGTCGCCTTAACGAGCCGATTTCTCAAGTTGCTGCGCCTCTCACGCCGCCAATTATCGAAGACCTTTTTTCATCGCCGCCGCCGCCACGATATTTTCGATACACGTTTCAAAAACGATGTGGCATGAACGCAATCGCACGCGATGCTCTTCTTGAATATTTGCCGAGCCAAGCCAAGTTGCAATTTTTCGGCATTAATATTCCATTTAACGCCTACTTTGCTACTCTGAAATCTACGAGAGTCTTTTGATTCGACTTAATCTTCCGAGTTTGTCTGCAAATGATATTTTGTGCGTTTTCTAGCCCATTTAGAGGTGCCAAGTAGGACTTCAGTATCAAACATACGCCAATCCCTTCAGAATATGCGGATAATGAAAAGTTCAGGTCGGAAGTGGGGCGAAAATTTCGACTCGCGGGGAACATCGTGAATTGAATTTGGGTTCTTTTGAATATTTGCAGGGTACGCGCGCCCTCGTTGTTAACATCATCGTTAAAATAATCACGATATCTCGCGAATGCTGTTTGTGAATAATATTCGCATGAGAGGTAAAAGCAAAGGGTAAATATAGGATACGGATTATAACGGCAGAGCGCGTGTAATGTGTCAGATATGTGTCCCCGATGCAAAACGAAATAATTCCGCGCAAACAAAATGCAACGGTCGACGCTAGACGACGGATTAAAAACTGCAGGGGGATCCATTGTCCCGTTATTTTCATCGCATATTAGCAAGCCGTAAATTCTCGTAAATATTACAGCGGTCAATATGTATACAGCTCTCGCTCGCGAAATTGTGTCGAATAAACGCGCGCGGGCCGCAACGCGTTAATTTACTTTGGCGACATTATCCATTACGGCATGGCATGCGCCTCTGATTTGATCAATCATTATGTACATAATAATTCAGTCGCATCGCGTATCTTGCACGCAAATCGCCAGATATCGGGAGTCTTTCGAGTCGCGCGCGAGCTCCGCGCTAAAAACGCCGGATTAAGCTCGACGCGCCGAACAAATATGTGCGCGTTTCGGCCTCTTGCGCGCGCGCGAGACGCGAGGAAGATCCCTCCCGTGAAAATTATTGCGCAGCACGTGTCGGCATCGATTCGCCGGTGCAGGCATGAATTTCGCAAATCACCGAGCTTTTGTGCTCTGAGACAAACGTATCGATGGCAAAGGTGGTTTTTCACTTCAAAAACATTTCGCGCTGCACGATTATGTGTGCGCGCGTGTGTTTTTGGATTGTCATAATTGTCACGCGGAGAGAGGAGCAAAAATTTCATCCCCGATTTCATCACACAAATTTGACGGAGACACTCGAATCCTCGAAAGGATGACGAGACAATCCCGACGCGTCCCCATGGAAAGCGCCGCACCCGTAAAAAGAAGGGGTAAAGGAGGGGTGAAGCACACAATAAAAGTAAATAAATTTCCGCCGCTCATAATTCATCGTGGCCGCGAGACGTCGCGACGAAAGGAGAAATTTTCGGCGTTCCGCGGGCCGGACAGGACCGTACTTACAGCGACGTGAATTAGGATAGGACGCAACCCGCGGAAAAGCACAAGCGCTTGCGCTAAAAGCCACGACCGCCCGCGGGGGTTGGAAGTGGGTAAGAGAGCTGGCGTGGGGGCGAGGAGAGGGGTCGCGCGTTGGAAGCTTCTGCGGGAAACGGAGAATCTGCGAGTGTCAGTGCAATTCGCGACGCGATGCCCTTCGCTCCCCCGGTCCGTGCTTAAGGGGTGGATCGAGGGCGCGGAGTGCGAGTGGCGAGAGAGAGTGAGAGGAGATTCGCTCGCTCGCTCGCTCGCTCGCTCACTCGCCCACTCGCCGACTTCTCCCGCGGTGACGTCCGGGGCCGACGGGCCGGACCGACTCTGTGCGCGACAATCTTGCGAGGGAATCAGAGAGCCTCGAATTCGCGTCGAGCCCTGACTCCGAGGGCACGCGCGTCGTCATCGTCGTCGTCGTCGTCGTCGCCGCCGTCGTCCACGAGGAAGCGAGTGTTGTTGGGCGTGAGTGACAATCTCGTGGATAGGATCGAGCGCGCGTTGTCTCGGCTCCCTCGTGTTGTCGGCCGGTAGCCCTCGCGCTTCGCAAGGAGGACGCAGAGCGACAGCGGGGTTATCAATTATTCGCGATAATCGTGCGGATCGGCGCGATCCGCGCGGGTATGTACGCGGCCTCTCTCTCTCTCTCTCTCATCGATACGCCCCGGAGGGTTCCCACCGCGAGATTGAAAATTATGCAAACATCATTTCCGGCGCCGTGCTCGGTCGCGAACCGCGCCGTGTAGGAACGCCGGCGTGGCGTCCGGAGCGTCCGCGCGCGAGTCTCTCTCTCTCTCTCTATTTTTTTCTCGATCCCTTTCTCTCTCTCTCGTTCGCCATTATCGGAAAACAGCGGCGAGGTGCTCGAAGTAAATTTAAGATACGAGACGCGTCCCTTCGCCTTCCTGTCGCACCCGCTAACCCTTCACACCGCGCAGCCCCTTGTCCTCTCCTCGCCGTGTCTCGCTTGTCCCGTTCGTTTCCCGTCCGGTAACTTCCCTCGCGCAACTTGCCGCTTAAATTGCGTTAGAAACTCGATTTGCGACGTGCGATAATAATGATTGAAAAGTTTGGCGGCAATTATCGATTAAATTTGAAGCGCGGCGATTCCTCTTTTTCTCCTTTTCTCTCTCTCTCTCTCTGTCGAGAACTTTTTCTCGGCCGATCTTTATCACGCGTCCTTCCTCTTGCTCGACTTCTCAACCAGTTCTCAACCGGAGAACGTCCTCGTGAAAACTCGTGCCGCAGTTGATCGCGAAACGAGACAATTCCGACGTCGGCGGTGATCGTCGCGAAAGTGTCGCTCTAAATAACTTGCGGCTGCGTTCCGAATCGTTGGTACAATAACGCGCCCATCGCTCTTTCGCGATGCGCGTCGAAGTTTCGTTGGAGGTTCTGCCTTCGCAGCGCGTTACTTCGCAGCCGAAGTTCCGACGGGAATTACCAGCCAAATTGCGTTCCCGGGGCTCGATTCCGCGGGGACGATAATAATGATCGGAAGCTCTTACGGCAATTATAAACGCGGAAACTTAGCGTGGGTGAAAGTTCGCCGGCAGTTCGCGTCCCGCCACCGGCATTCCGATCTTAGTAACGTTGCAGCGCGTGAACGGGGAGGGACAATTAGATATGTTCGCGTACCCCGCCTCGGGATCACCGTTTGTTCACGAATCGATCCTTAATCGAGTGTCGGAGTGGTCGGCCGGCGTGCGCAGCATAAGGAACGAGAAAATCTCATGAGGGATCTCCGCTTTCATCAGGGCGCGCTCACACAGTCGCGTTGAAAAAGGCGCGCTGGCTTGCCGGAAGAATCCATCGCAGTTTTCTCTCTTCCTCCCTCTTTCTCTCTCCGCGAGGAAATTCGCGCAAACTAATTTCGCGATGGTAAACACCGTAACGAGAAATTAATGTTAAATAAAGGGCGAAGAATCCAATCGGGGCAGTCTAATGAGGGGATTGTAAAACCGATATTTCACGAGCGACTGCGACACATGTGTGACGCGCAGTTAATCCCGATATAATTATGCGAGGCCGCGCGATTGAGCGAGAGAACGTGCTGCTCGCGATCGAAAGCGAGCTTTATGGTGAGCGATTTTGAGAGAAGCAAAGGATCATCGCGACGAAAGCGCACAATGGATCGTGACGGACAGATATTAATCGATAAAATATTAACGCAGAACCCAGTGCAAACGTATATATATGCGTGTGTATACACATATAATGAGTACGTGATTAATTAATCTACGAGGCGAGCGAAGGGGACCAAGGCAGACTCCTCAGACCGGGCGCGGGCGATTGGACCGGGATTTCACGGTGAGTACACTCGCATAGCCATAAGATGTACCCTGCGTTTTACACGCCGCACATATGTGGAGATCGATTAGGTTACGCATTACGTAACGTCTGCGTTCGATTTAATCGCGAGCCACTTTCTCGTCCCATCCAACAGCGCTGAGATCTTCATCCGTCCTATCCGAGTCGAAATTTCGGTCCTGTGTTCAATCTTGAATTCTGCAATGCAGTAGGAACTAAGTTGGCAAAGTAAATTTAATTCTAGTAACACAATTTATTCCTACTTTGACTCGGATGATGTTCGAAATTTTCACTTTCTTCAGCGTCGAAATAGGCTTTAGAACATCAAAATAGGGGTTGAATGGAATAATGAGACTGAAAGAATGGATGGAAATCTCAAAGTAGGTTAAGTAGAATCAAAAGAGGTCGATGTAGACTTCAGAACAGGTATTGAATGTAATAATAAAGCTGAAAATAGGATAAAAATTTCGACTCGAGTACGCCGATGTTATCATCTAGTGCAGTGGTCGGAATTGCTTGTACAATCGAAGAGATTTTCGAGAGTTACGCCTACTCAGTTTCCCTTGCTCGCCTGCAGTGCAATTCTGTAACTCGTTTATTGTCGTTAACGACAATATCAGTACTGTATGTCGCTGCTATATCCTTTCTAGCATATAATATACCTGCGCAACGTTAACGACAACTTGTTAACAACAGTTAACGCGTTACAGAATCGCACTGTTGGCGGATCGCAGTCTCGTTGATAGATAGATCCGTGAAGCGCTTCCTAGTAACTGAAAAATTCTCATTGTAACATTACAGGAGAAAACACTAAGGATATCACTTGCCTAAATATAGTTGCCATAACGAAATGTTAGTTTTCGCCCATGCATACAAGACTGTTGTAGTAATCATAGTATTCTGAAAGTAATACCTTCTTTACCGCCTATCTATATGTTTGAGCAATACTCTGAGTACTGTATGATGCAATCAAGCTCTACGGATCTCTCAACCATAGTATTCGTTCTGCGGACCACAACAGTGAGACAGTAATATTCCTTTGATTGAGGCAACTATATATATATAAGAAGTCTATATAAGAACTATAGCTATGAGAACTCTATGAGCATGTAATGTATTTTAATGCCATATCTATTTCATTTGAAATGATAAATTTTCTCTCTAATCATAGAATATATATAGTAACCATAATAGTTTTCTCCGTGAATGCTTTACAAGTCTTCTTATATCACTGTGGCTGAGCTCTGTCAGTCGAACGGCGACTGTCGGGCGAGCTGGAGAGGCAAGGGGAAGTAAATAGGTGTAAAGGCCTATCCAAACAAACTTACATAGTTGCATAGTGCGTATACACAATGGAACAGTCATGTGTGATGTACATTGAGAAAAAAATTTACTAAATTTCAAGAAACGTTTGTTTGGATAGTACTATGAAGATATTTGTTAAATTAAATAATTATTTTCTAAAATTAAATAAAGAAGTTTTAAATATAAATTTGTTTCTTTAATTTTAGAAAATAACTACTTAATTTAAACAAATATCTTCACAGTACTATCCAGAAAAACGTTTTTGAAACTTAGTAAATTTTGTTCTCAGTGTATAAAAGATATCCTTCAGCTGCATGCATCACAATCGGTTGATTTCCTTATGCATGTGTGCAATATGGGATTATGCGAATTGATGAGCCTTCACCCTCGAAAATCCGCCTCGATTGTACAAGTAATTCGGTGGCAACTAACGCCACCTCTTTTTCTCTCTCGTTTAGACCTTTTTCGCTGATCTTTCTTCGCTACAAGCCGCTCGCTCCACCACGAACGCAATGGTCATAACTAATTTAGACCTATATCGTACATTCCCGGTAACGTATTTGCCAATTAACGAGAGTAGCAGTTGGCCGCGGGCGGCGCCTTAATTTTCTCCCCTCGTCTTAATTCTCCGCGGTAATTCGCGGTCATATTTCACGCCGTTGGACCGCCACCGTAATGACGGTAAATTATGCGTAACATCGCATGTAGCGCCTGAATGCCCTTCTCAGCCGACTCGGCGAAGACGCGCGATTCCGCGCGACGTTCGCGTTGCATCCGCGTTATCCGGGGACGTATTCTCGCGTGGGCAAATAATTAAATCGCGTCTCGAACGTTAATTTCATACGCCCACGAGGCTATTGCTTCCGCGCCGATTCGCCGATTCGCCGTGCGCGTTATTTGTCGTGCAATTAATTCGTCACGACGAAACGCGCTGATTGCTCGTCGTAGGATATTGTGTCGCTGGTGCGCGCGAGTGGTTGAAAAAGATAACGGCCCGTTTCCACAGTCTCGTTAATAACCCCGCCTCATTGATCGGATTAAACTGATAACTTCTCGTTATATACGCAATTTGTTAACTCGACCGATGCTAAGCCCAAACGTTCATTACGGCCGCTAATCATGCTCTGGAGTTCAATACGATCATTTTGTTTTCACATCGCAGAACTGATCTCCAGCGCGATACGCGCAGACTGGGTGACGCTTTGGCGCGAGCGCTCTTCATACTGAGAAATAGGAACGGGGTATATTTGTTCTAGCGGAAAATACTCGACGCGTATTGCCAATTTTTGAACACGCGTCGAGAACGATGGAGAAATCAGGTGTGCATAGAAAAGTGTCGTTCTAACGTTCTGAAAAAGTGATCACTCGGCTCATCTTCCTTCTTTGAAGTGACTGTTATTCTCAGCACTAAGAATATTTTTCTGTATAGCAGTCTACAAATACACAAATTTCACCAATTTTGGAAAATTTTCATTATTGTGTACTCAAAAAAATAATCTTCTTTTTACAAAAATAACAAAAGATTATGGAAATATTATAAAGCTTTGTCGGAGAGAAAGATAGCTCGACTCTATGCAGCAAGAAAACTGAATTTTTGTCTCAATTTAATATTCTTGCGTTAATAAAATATTGATGGAAAAAGAATTTGGCAGCGCGGCAGCAAGAATCTCTCTGTGTGCGATTGCTGAGCGAGTTGTCTTGTTAACATATGAATAACTATGAAAGCATAGCTGCCAGTAGGCATATATATTCAGATGTAAAGCCGACGTAGTAGCAACAGTAGCAAAGGTTCTGATTACAGCAGCAAATGTTTAGTTATAGTAATAAACACACTTTCAGCAAACTATCATTAGCTGCGAGAGTGGAATCCCGCATGATTGAAATGCTAAACTTAGCAGAATTCAAAATTAACTCTGAATCAAGTTGATGCTTATGATAAACTCTCTCATGATAAATCTGCAGATATATAAACTTGGGAAAGATATTTGAAATGAGTAACACTTGAATGCAGTGTGTATTTTTCTGAGTGTGGAATTTAAACCAGATTCAATCATCGGTCCGATTCAATCAACCTGCCGTTGTTGTTTCTTTTCCCTCCTCTCTTGCGAACAATGAGCATCGGAGAAATCTTTTGACGTACTCGTCGCGCAAGAAAAAAAGAAACGCCCCCGGGCGACGTAATTAATAGCATTTTTGCGAAACGTGAAATACTTGTCAGCGTGTTGCGTTGCGTTGCGTTGCGTTGCGTCGCGTTGCGTCGCGTTCAGCGATGGACAGCTTAACCGATCAAGAAAATTAGAAATTGTTTTGTCGCGATGCCGATGTGTCTTGTCGTATTTTTGTTGGGAAATCGTTAGCGTCCGAAGTGAAATACAGCGAAATGCACTAGCCTCGAAAAAGTGGCTTGCAAGCACCGCGTCAGCATTCCATTCCGCGTTTCGCCGCGGTCCTCCGCTCAATAAACGATACCGCCGTCTCGTCGAGATTCCTAGGAACGCGTAAAATCGCGGACGCCAAGGAGGGGAGGGATCTACACGTCATCCGCTCCATTATCTCCTCCGCGCGAAAAATAAATTCGGCGTTCGCGCGAAATGTAATAATTTTGTGAGATATTACTCGACGAATAAATACGCGGCTCGCGTTCTTTTCTGCTGGTAAAACGCGATGTAAACGTGAGAAAGAAACAGAGAAAGAGAGAGAGAGAGAAGCGTTTATTTACACCCCCTGGGGTTAACAGCCCTCTAGAGTTACAGCTATTTCGCATAGAATGTTAGATAACACATCACGCAATGAGAGTGAGAAAAGTAACTGTGAGTAGTGCTAATTGCTACAAGATACTGTAAATTGCGCGAGCGGTAAGAATATACTGTTGTTGCAAAATGAGAGTGACAGTAAGTTATTCAAAAGCTTAACCAACAATGTGTTCTTTCCTTCCTGTTCCTTTCTCTTTACCTCGTTCTAACTCTAACCTTAAGGCTCTTGGGTACTCGCATCGTTCATCTCTTTAATGATGTCAGAAACGAGGAAACGCATGTAAAAATTCTTTCGAAATACGTCGAAATGAAAAGATACAATGACACAATCAATTAAGCACGCTTCTAAAATATTCCAAATACTTTCATTTTGTTCTAATAATCACTAAATAATCATAAAATTAATGACAGAATAATGAGGAAATTAGGTTAAAAAAGAAGATTACATGTCATGTTAATTATATAGTTATTCGTCAGGAATCTTAAGCCAGAAAAAAACAGAGAACAAAAAACAAAGAGCAAAGAGTACATTAAACTTAAGATTGTGTACACACATACATGTATTTAGTTATCGATACAAAGAGAGAATACAAGAGAAGGAGGGAGAGATTCTTTCAATTGATTTCAATCCGAAATGATTCTTTCGGGGAATACGAAGTCGATTTCTGAGATTGGTTTTCGGCGCATAAACTACGTAGACATAAATTAACTCTTTTGTTCTCGGTAGATCCCATTACTAATCCCAATAGTCGCTCCAAACAACGGTTTAAATGTACCTGCGAGCGCGTGACACTCGGAACACAGCCACGACGATGTTCCCGTCGTCGAATCGAAAGGTGGCGGACGTGTAAATTGCGCGTCTTTCGGATATGTCGCAGCATTCGAAACACGCGGAAACACCGGCTGCACGTATTTTTGCAATAGAAGTTACTGACATTACTA